ATTGTCACACCCCTGGTCACACTAGGAAGACATATCCAAATATTGGTCATGAATTCAGTTTTCGCCACCATTGATCTTTATTGTTGTAATGAATTTTAATAAATTTATTTAGTTATATTTATAATGTTAATATTCAATAAATTTAATCACTTGATGGTAGTCTTTGAGTTTTGGTATTTGATAAGTGAAAATCGAAAAAATAAAATAAAATGTTCTGAATCTGTAGGCCAGAACGGCCCGTTCCGGATTCAAAACGGCCCGTTCTAGTTCCACTTTTTGTGTGCTAATTTTGAATTTGGAACAATCTGTTCTAATCCATTCGCCATGTGTTATTTTTTAATCTGGAACGGCCCATTCTGATTTCAGAACGGTCCGTTCTGAACATGAACAGTAAACGATGCTAATTACTAACATCAATTAAATAATATCTTAATCTTTATATATTACCTTTAATATATATAATTAATATTATATAATGAAAATACAATTTATTTAATTATTTATAAGAATATTACGTTTACTACATCAATTTAATAATATTTTAAAACTTGTATTTGATTTTATCTTACTTATCAAAATATATTATTTTTATTTTGAAATACAACTTTAAATTTTTTTTGTAAAGATAATAACGAAAAATATATTTTTAATGTATATAATTAATTTTAGTAAAAATTATAATAATTTTCAAAATAATAATTAACTATATAAATCATGAGATAAATTGTTAAAGTGTAACATATTTAAATTTATTAAGAGAGTGATATAATGTTTACATGTTTAAGGTAATGTTAGTGTAAATGGTGTTTTGATAATAATTTTTTTTTTTTGTAATAAAAGTTAAGGAAACTTTAATGAAAAATTTTAAAAATAAGTAAAGTGACATATATTAAAATCTATTGAAGGAGAAAATTATTACTTTTTAACATAAGAGAAAACGGCAGCGAAACGTTTATATCTCTTAAAATAAAGAAGTGTAATTTACACTTATATTTATCTAAAAATCTTTTAATTCAATCTCTCCGCAGAGAAAACAAAGTAGTACATCATTAGTTAGTGACTAGCGAGGGTGTACTGATCAAAATAAAATTGAGTGTTTTATTTATAGTACTATGAGTATCTCTTAATTTATTGAGTAAAAATTAATCATACTCATAGTATTATAATTATTATTGTCTCAATAAATTTTTGTACACAATGAAAACCTAATACTGTGTTTGGATGAGAAATTTTACAAATTTAAGAAATTTAAAATTCTTGGTATTTAAATTATTTTGATTTAAATTTTTATCATTCTTAAAATATTTTGTTTAGATAAGTCAATTCAATTTTTTTAAAATTTTAAATTGTTAATTTGGATATGATAATTTGATTCTATCATGATAAAATTGATTTTAAAAATATATTTATATGTTGAGATTTTTAAATAAAATTTTATAAAAATAAATATTAACCAAATTTTAAATATTTAATAATTTTAAAAATTAATATTAGATAATATATAGTAATTTTTAAAGTATTTTTGAATATTCAATAATTAAAAATATGAAGACATAAGATAAAATATATAAGTGAAATAAGAAAAAAAAATATGAAAAATTTTAAATTCTTAGTTTTT